TTTTTGCCCACTCCTGCACAACTTCACAATCATTTTTCATTCCCGATGGCTCGAACTCTTTTTTAAGGCCTGAACAAATAGTTTAGAAGAATGATAAATATTAATTTTATTGCTGAACAAAATAATATTTCCAAAACCCAACCAAGAGCAAATTATTTGGTCCACTTTTACTAATATTGGAGGGTAAAATGAATAAAAATAATAATCATACAATAATAATTGGAGTGGAATAAAGCCAGAAGATGATGACAAATAAAAAAAACAATAGGCCTGAAATAATACTATAAAAAAAAATTGAACAAATTTAAAATAAATTTTTTAAATCATATTGATGCATAAAATAGTTACTATTTTACAGTATGGTTTGTTTTTTGCAATATAAAGAAATTGAGGAAGTTTATTTAGTTGATCCCTGAATAATAAGATGTTTACTATAGGGGAGGAATACAACAATAAATTGTAACAATGTTATAATTTGTTAAAAAGTGCGAAATGTGATACACAGCATACGCAACAGTTTCAAGTTCATTCAGTGCAGAGACATGATTGGTACAGCATGTATGCTACAGTAGTAAAAAACTTTAGTTTTATTTATAAAAGGAAGCTTTGGATTTATTTTTACATTGAAGGATTCATGGCTGTGTTTGACATATAATTTGAAATAATATAAGTATGATTAATATTGTTTTTACAATTGAAGGATATGCTTGTACTGTACTTTTGATCATTAACCTAGCTAGGCCTAGGCCTACACAGTATAAACCTAACCCCACAAAAGCCTAGGCCCTAGGCCTATAGTATAATATTTATTACCCGTAGTAAGGGCAGGCCTAGGCCTATATGCCTATTTAATATGGCATTTAATATTAGTACAGTGTTTATTTTCAATTCACTCAAGCATGTCCGGTGGTGACGTATGTATTTGCATCGTCGTCGCAAAACTAAAACAAGAGCTTTTCATCTGTGTGGCCAACATTGTAATACGTCATAGATAATTAGCATATCGTCCTAGATTACTCCAAAGAGTATAAATAGAACAAGAGAGCCAACAACGCTCATTGGGAGCGTAAAAAAACGATACGCTCTACGCAGCTAGTGTAGGACGCCAACTAACGCTTGTATATGTTTTATTACCCAGTACTGCAC